AAAAATCTGCCTAGTGGGCTCACTCCAGTAGCCAAAACAGAATAACCTTTATTGACCCAGGTGTACAGACCCATAATTATGAGGCCAACAAGACACCAGGCAAACTGGGAACATAGAAGCAGAACTTGAACCCAGAACTTCATTTCATAAGCAAGTTTTGGGGTCTCATCTTTGCCAACCAGGGGCAAATTGTGGCCCCTTAAAACTCTGGTGATCCTCACCCAATCCTAGCCACATGGCTTTCCTGGGGACCTGTGCGTGGGGCTGGAACAAATAGTGGCCTCTGAATGGTGCCCCCCAAATGCTTGGGTGATCCTCACACCTTGTTAGAGTCTCTGTTTTCTAGAAGGCCTGTTTCCTCAGTAGCTTCCCAATGTGTGGATAGTCCTTGACCAGAGCCCAGGTTATGGCTCCCAGAGTGGCCCCCACTGGACACTGGTACATGGCCTCCAGAGCTCAAATGATCCCAGTGAGCTCAGATGGTCTCTCATAGATGCCAGTTTATGATCCCAGAACCAGAGCTGTTTCCATCAAATCCCAGTTGCGGAGAAAACAGGCAAGTAGCCGAATGGTGGGTGTGGCCCACCAGGTTGCCTGGAGCCAAAATGGAAGTGAAACCCAGGTGGCATACCCTGTGTGGCGGTGCACTTACATGACACAGCCCAACTGGCACAACCCCCATGTGACCTGCAGCCTGCATGGCAGAGGTGGCCTGCCAAGTGGTACCCCATGTAGCTCTAACTGGATGCATGTGGCACTGTGCCCAACCCCCAGTATGCATGCCAGTACAGTTCACCCAGTCCTGGGGTCCCTTTTCTCCCCCAAACTGTTTCCTTCTATTATCCTGGCATTCCCAGTGATTGGCACCTTGAGTAGGAGTGCAGGGAAGTTTCCTTAAACTGGGAAATTCCCACAGCTGTGCTCCTGGGGTCGATCTACCATAGGTGGCTGGAATAGGCTTATAGTTTGCTTTGTCCCATCTAAGGGTGTCCAGTTCTGTTACAGGGTAATTTGGAATTTGGCTACCTGCCACCGTACACAACAATAAAACACAGATTAGTGGGGAAGGGAAATGGTTTATATTAACAGGATGCATAGTTTGAGGGAGCTGTAGTCTCCCCTGATCCTAGCCATTCTCTACTGCAAAACACAAAATTCCTCTTGTTCCCAGAAAGACTGAAATCCAAACCCACGCCCAGAAGTTTCTCTCCATTCTTATCTGATATTTTTGGAGCCCAAGGTGGCTACATGAACAGATCTCCATCCTCTGGCTCTCTCCGATGTGTACACATGTGGATTTCAGTGTCGCCATCACCTCACACAGCTTTTCTCTTTCCCGGGGCCTGGAGTGTACTGCCAGGTTACTATAGCTGGTTGTGGTAGGGGCTAAGTCACTGGTCTCCAGTGTCCAAGGCTGCTCAAGAACTTTTATGGCATGTGTGTTTGTGTGCTGCTGTCAGGATGAGGGAGTGGAAGCAGTCCAGGACCTGTGTCCCATGCGGCATAGTGTCCTGTTTGCCTGCTGCTGGTGAGGTGCATGTCCTACATATGGACCTACTCCAGACCCTGTGAGCAGGGCAAGGCAAGAACTGTGAGCTGGGCCTGGCATCCCACTGGATCCTGTGAACACTCCCTGTCCCAATATGACGAAGAACAAGGGGTGAGGAAGAGAGAGAGGAAGCTTCTGCATGTCCACTGTTTTAAATCTTTTCCCCTAAATCCTGCACGCTGTGGGAGTGTCCAGATCCCAACCAATTCCAGGTCAACACCCGCCATGAGTGTCAGTCTGCCCAGTATCTTTGCCCCTCTGGCCATCATGATCTGGAAAATGGTAGGAGTTTCCCAGCCACATGCAGGGGCACAAGTGTCTCAGCCCAGATTTGGGCATTACACTGGGGCAACTGGAGCCTTGTTGGTTGTTCACTGTTGCCTTGGGCAGCCTCCTCTGTGACCCCTGCCCCATCTCAGGGGAAGTGCAGACTCTCATGCAGTCTCAGGGTTTCTCCACTGGATTGAGGTTTCCCCTGCTCCCCAGTGATCAGTCCTGACCCCTCTGTTACATGCCAGTCACTTTTGTGTTTTTGTGTGTTGAATGAACTATTGAGTGAATTAAATAGAGAACAAAGTGTACCTGTTCAGATTACACTTCATTATCACCATGCTTAAACAAACTTGCCATGGAGCCTGACTGTTGGAAATGTAATATGTGCTAACTTTTAGACCATACACTTTGATCTGAGGCCCATGTTTTTGTTTTTGTTTTTGTTAACTTTTAGTGAAGTTTCTGGTCCAGTGGAGTTTTTTATCTCTTAATTCTGACCCTAGCTCTGCTGTTCATTGGCTATTTCTAGGGAAATCACATAAACTGTCAGACTTATTTCTGCTTATGTAATTAAAGGCACTCCCTACTTTGGAAAATGCTATGTTAAACATAAATGATATTCTATAGCTGAGCACATTTAAAATATGCTACTTCTTGTTTTGACTGTGGTATCTAAAGGATTGCTTATCATTTCCACTTGTTTATATAAAAAAACCCCAGTTATTCAAAGTAAAAACATTTATGCTAGAGGATGGTTCAGAAGGATTAGATGCCCAATCTGATTGTTAAATGAGTCAAGTTTCTGTAATCAAACATGAAAGGGGCTAATTAAGTTATATTTATTCTTTGCCCATCCTGGATTGTAGGTGCTCTCATGTTAAAAATAATTAATAGTTACAAACACTCAAGACTTTTAATGACTGGAAAGGTAATCACATTTAAATAATTTGTATTTACATTTGTGATTTGTGGACAATTTTGCTTTTTTGTTGTTGTATTTAAGTAGTCAAAACCATTAGCAAATATGTGACTCATTAATAATTTTCATAGTTAAATACATTTTTGAAGACCTCTCCACTTGGCTTACCAAACTTGTTATTTTTTAAGCATATACAGTTATTTCTAAATGGGAATAGCAGTAATTTGTCTAATTGATGAAATATTTTTGTAAACAAAAGGTAGTTTGTCAAAAGCACTGTATTTTTCAAAATAATTCTAAAGTAATTATAATTCTAGGTTAAAACTATAAAATCAAAATAATTATTTTATGTTTCCTTTCTATCTTAAATATTAAATGGATTCAGTTAGTAATTTTGACAAAAGAAAAAGAAAAGGAACTAATGTACCCTACATAGAACCTTTAAAACTTTTTTTTTTAAGATTTTATTTATTTATTGTTTTTTTTAGAGAGGGAAGGGAGGGGGGGAGAGAGAGAGAGAGAGAGAGAGAAACATCAATGTGCGGCTGCTGGGGGTTATGGCCTGCAACCCAGCAATGTACCCTGGCTGGGAATCGAACCTGGGACACTTTGGTTCCCAGTCCGCGCTCAATCCACTGAGCTACACCAGCCAGGGCTAGAACCTTTAAAACTTTAATAAAATAAAGTATAATTGGAAGTTCAAATATGGCCTTCACAGAGGTGTCAGAGATGATGTAGTAGTAAAACATTTGAAGAATCCAGTTCTCCTTAGTTTTCTAATAAACTAAATGCAGTATTTATGAGGAGAATCAGTACTGTCCAGTACTTGGGGTATAATGAGTTGAAGTACTGTTTGTTTTTAGTTAGTGTTAAGTGGTTTTTTTAATTGAAATATTGTCAGTGTCACTGTAGAGGAAAAATTAAAACCATCTGAGTCCTGTGTTTCTGATTATAATATTCTTTTGCTTTGGTGAAAACATCCTGGTTTGGTTTATATATTCAAACTAATTTCCCCCCCAGAATTATCACTTGCCCCTTCCCTTTCTAGGACCCAGGCATCCTGTTTTCACCATGTTTGCTGTCTGCTGAAGATGAATATTCGCCATGGCACCTGGTGCATTCAGGCAGGATTGTGCAGCGGAATCGTCATACCTAGTTATGTCTGCACACCTGATGTTTTATTAACCAGTATTGATTTTTTACCCAGGGGACTTTTCTTGAAAAAAGGCAACCTTGCAGGAGTGAAAGGCATTGCTGGGATTGAATTTCTAATGAACCCCTTCTTTCCCTTTTTGTGACTCCTTTTTAGTGTAGCTTTATATTTTCAGTGCCTCAACTGAAACTTAATTTTAAGCAATTCCATTTTGATAAATCTTTTTAAATCTTGACCTTCTATAGGTTAATTTTTTAAAGATTGTGCTGTTTGACTGAAATGCCTGGTAGTGCCTGTAAATTTGAGCATTTCATTATAGGTTGCAATGAAGCATGCTCACATGCAGTGAAATACAGAGAATTTGAAACTATTTGAGTAATGCATAAAGAAATAAAAAGGAAGAAAAATCTCATGTCATATTTCACGTCCTAAAGTTTCTTCTGTTTTGCTTAGGTTAGTTCAGAGAATTAAAAGAAGTTCTGAACTAGGTTCATATCATAAAATGAATATGTAGCTCAACAGTTATTTTGAAACAGAAAAGGATTTTTGCATTAGAATATAAAAAATTACACTCATTATTACATTAACATGGAGGCATTCTAATGCTAACTGTGTAAGTATATCTGAATATTTTTCATTCCTTGATATGGCATAAATTTTTCTTTCTAAAAATATTACTTTGTATATATGTATTGAATTTTAATGATAGCACAAATTTACATACTTGTCATAATTAAGGTGAGTTGCTTAATCATTCCCTGCTGACTTTTGAGTTCAACCTTAGGTTGGCCATGCTTTCACAGCTGCATTTTAATTTGCTGCCACAGTTTATTGTATAAAGACCACATACACACTATTAGCTGTCAGTAGACGAAGGTCCTCCTGTGTCAGTGAGTCATTCTGACAGTTAGCTTGCACTATAAGGATAAAGTGGGCCCTGTTCTGTTATTTCCCTGAAGCTGGAAATGGACCATCTCCAAGGATTGCATGTCTTCTAAGGCATTACAGATCACTAAGGATAGAGACTCTTGACTTTGAAAATGGTTTTATTAGTAATTGTGTGTTAATGGTACATTAGTAAACTGATCCCTTTGTTTTTCTTACAGTTTTTGGCACTGGGCACACATTATGGCAAGGTTTATTTACTTGATGTCCAGGGGAACATCACTCAGAAGTTTGATGTAGTAAGTATACAGTATAAAATAATGTGTGAGCTAAATGTTATGCAAAAATTTGTGCTTTAGAATATTAGCAATTTGTTTTAATAGCATAAAGGGTCTTTATCAATTAAAGCCAAGTGCTAAGAACATGTACTATATATATAGTTATATACCATATACAACTCTGACTGTTATGGTATGTCCTAAAAATTTTAAAGGTGAACTTAGAGAGAAGTCTTACATGTATATATTATATATTTTGACTGATTATTTTTATATACAAATTTCATTTAAAATTCTCTTATAAATCCATTTAATTGCAATTCTTTACTTAATTATAGTTATCCATTTGGCCTAAGTGGAGCATTTAAAATACTTCTGTGTGTTCTTTTTAAATTATAATGCTGTAGAATGTCTAGGTGAAATGTTATTAAAAGAAAAAACCTTCATTAGTGAACAGTGGTACTCATTTACATACTCAGGGTATGTGGAATCCTTAAAAGTATGAACCCCCTCATTTGGTCACTGGTGTCATTTGCATATACATGCCTGTCATCTCCATCTCATTCAGTTGCCAAATGTAATAGAAAATCAATTGATCACTTTGCTGGTTCATTTTCTCTCTTCTAAACATAGAAAGCTAATATTTTATGTGAATTATATTAATCAAAAGCAAAGATTCGGGCTTTTTAATTTTTTTTAATTTTATTTATTCATTTTTAGAGAGGGAAGGGAGGGAGAAAGAGAGAGAGAGACATCAATGTGCGGTTGCTGGGGACTATGGCCTGCAATCCAGGCATGTGCCCTGACTGGGAATCAAACCTGCGATGCTTTGGTTCACAGCCCGCGCTCAACCCACTAAGCTACACCAGCCAGGGCTGCTTTTTAATTTTTTTAATTGTGATTTGGAATCATTAAGGAGGAAGGAAACGTTGATTTTGAAACTTGACTTTGGTGTTTAAGATGTACCTTTAAAGTATCAGTGGTTGTACCTTTCAAGTATCATCTGTGGTTGTATGAATGTGAACATTTGGGGTGAAAAGGTGATCATTTTGGGGAACAGATAATACTTTTTTGAAGAAAGCATTAGTACTTATTGAAAGATCCATTATAAGGTATTGATGTAGTTTAAAAAGGAGACAGTAGTTTCGAAAGTTGACATATTGTGTGTGAAAGGAAAAGGACTGGGTTTTTTTTTGTTTATTTGTTTATTTGCTTAAAAAGGAAATGGAATGATTGAATGATGACAGAATCTTTGGAATAGTTCAGAAAGGGATTTATATGCTCTAAATATACTGATACATCAGGAAAATTATGGGGTTTTTTTTGCTTTAGCATCCCTTTTAGGCAAGAAGAAAATACTTTTGGCACTCCCTCATTTATTCCTGGACATCAGACACCCAACTTGATGACTTAAGCACTTAGTCTTTGAATTGCCATCCATTAAAACAGGGAGCTGGTGCTTGGTAGAGGTCTCTTTTGTGGTGTTAGTCATATCTCCTCGCCTTTAAAAAACCTTGCCTGTATGATCTCTTAAATTTCCCACTCTAGTTTGGTGATTATGTGACACCCTGCTTCTAATGTCTTTTTAATATTGCATAGTGATTGCTGTGTTTGATTGCTAAGGTTCATGGGACATACACTGCTGGTTCCATTGCCAAAAGAGAAAAGAAAAAATAAATACTGTAGGGTTTATTCATGTATTCTCTCATTTATTTATTTAGTACGATCTTGTGTCTACTCAGTATATACCTTAAGTTAAATCTTCTCTGATGTTCTTTTATGTCAAGTATATCTTATATCCTTTTTTAGGTAACTTATATCATCTTTAAATTTGTATACACCTTTTTTCAGTTCTTTTGTTTGTGTCCTGCTTACATGACATCTTTGAAAACTAAGTTCTCTTTAGCTTTGCACTTATTTTTTTTAGCAGGAGAGGAAGGTGGTTTGGTGCTGTTTTATTTATTTGTTTACCTTACTTAAGAATTTGATAGTCTACTGTGGGTGTTACATGAAGCCCTGACTTCTTCATGATTATTGCCATTTTAGATATTTAACTTTCAGATGAGCAGTTTTAGGTTGACATTATCTTTTGAAAGGAGCCTTAATCTTTAGCTTCTCATCTCTGATGAGTTTTTTCCTTTATTATTTTATTTTTCTGTCTCTGATGTTTTAACTGCTTTGTGGGGCTTTGTATTATTTCTCTTAAAAGGGCTTCTTTCAATTCTAAAAACACTGTTATGACTTGAATTTGCTAATTTTCTTTGAAGATAATAATCACCATATTTAATCAAGAACTTTTTTTTCTTCATTAGAAACACAACTAGAGTGAAACAAGTACCCTGTATTAGGGGGGGAAATGAATGAATAAATGCCCCTGACTTTAGTTTTCACATCTAGTTGAAAATAATTAAACAAAATAAAATTAGGTAAAATAATAATACCTTCTATTTGCATAACATTATCTATTTCTTTATCCCATTCATGGCTTTTATAGTTTTGATTCCAGTAGTAAAAGTCATGAAGCAATTGTCCAAAATCCTCCCCAATCAACAGTGCGTTTTTTTGGCAGAGGGTGGGAGCATTGTGGAATCTCTATTTTAAAAAGTTTTCCCAGATGATTTTTTTAAAGATTTTATTTATTTATTTTTTAGAGAGGGAAGGGAGGGAGAAAGATAGAGAGAGAAACATCAATGTCCAGTTGCTGGGGGTCATGGCCTGCAACCCAGGTGTGTACCCTGACTGGGAATCGAACCTGCAACACTTTGTTTCACAGCCTGCGCTCAATCTACTGAGCTATGCCAGCCAGGGTCCCATATGATTTTTAAAGAGACTGACCATACCAAGTGTTGGCCAGGATATGGAGAATGTGGAACTCTCACAGACTGCTGGTGGAAATGTAAAATGATATAACCACTTTGGAAAACAGCTTAACGGTTTTTTAAAATGTTAAATGTACACCTACAGTATGACATAGCCATCCCATCCTTAGGAAGTGAAAGCATGTACTCATACAAAGACTTCTACATGAATATTCATATTGGTGCTATTTATTATAGTCCCAAAGTAGAAACAACCTATATGCCCATGTACAGGTCAGTGGGTAAGTAAAATGTGGTATATCCACACATGGCATTCTACTCACTGAGAAAAAAAGAATGAACTTTTGATAAATACTCTAGCATGGATGTAACTATTATGTTAAGTGACTAAAGCCATGCTGAAAGGGTATATATTGTATGGCTGAATTCTATACAATTCTAGAAAATACAGACAAATGTATAGTGGCTAAAACTGATCATGGTTGCTTAGAGATGGGCAGAGGATGGCATGGATGGATCATAAAGTGGCATGAGATTCTCAAGGCTGATAAAAATGTGGCAAAGTTTTACAAGTGTATATGTATGTTCAAACTTACAAATTTACACTTTAAATATCTGCTGTTTATTGTATGCCATTTATACCTCAGTGCTGTTAAAAATAATAATAAAAGAGACAAAGTATCAAAAAAACACAGATTAATAGTTCCCAGAGGTGATGTTTACACATCAAAATACTTAGGTTATTTGCGTGTAGGTAACTTTAAACTATTGGGTATTCTTAAGGTGCTTGACATTTTAAATGACGCTGTACAGCACAGGTAGCAAACACAGGACCCTAGGGCCAAATCCAGTCCTCCACCTTGTTTTACCGGGCTCGTACCTTGTTTCTACCTGGTGGCAGTGCCAGGCTCTAGCTTAACTGTTAAGGAGCAAGTACATTTATACAGTCCTAAAATTACATTTGGCCCTTTGAAGACAACTGTGAAGCTGATGTGGCCCCTGGAGAAAATGAGTTTGACACTCCTGCTGTACAGAGTGGGATCTGTTCTAGATTATTCAATTACTGGCTTCTTTGACCTTTTTTAAGTCATGAATCAAAAGAAAAAAAACAAAATCTGTCTTTTAAATTTTTAAATTATTTTCCTTATTTCTGACCAATGAACTATAGTTGGAGAATATACCAAAAGTTTGTTTTACATGAGCTGTGAGAGAATTTTATGAATATTATCAATATCTTTTTTTAAGATTATTTTATTGTTCAATTACAGTTGTCTGCATCTACCCCCTCACAACTCCCCTTCCACCCCAGCCAAACCCACCTCCCTTCCTTGCTTCCAACCCCCTGCCTTGGTTTTGTCTATGTGTCCTTTACAGTTGTTCCTGAAAACCTTTTTCCCCATTATCCCTCCCACCTTAATTTCAATGTCTCAGGTTATATTTTGCTTGCTTTGTTCTTTTGTTTATTAGATTCCTTTTAAAGGTGAGATCATATGGTATTTCTCCCTCACTGTCTGGCTTATTTCACTTAGCATAATGCTTTCCAGTTCTATCCATACTGTTGCAAAGGCTAGGAGCTCCTTCTTTATCTCTGCTGCATAGTATCCCATTGTGTAAATGTACCATAGTTTTTTGATCAATTCATTTACTGATGGGCACTTAGGTTGCTTTTAGTACTTGGCTATTATAAATTGTGCTGCTATGAACATTGGGGTGCATAGGTTTTTTGGATTGATGTTTCAGATTTCTTAGGGTATGATCCCAGCAGGGAAATTGCTGGGTCAAAAGACAGTTCCATTTTTAGTTTTCTGAGGAAATTCCATACTGTTTTCCACAGTGGCTGCACCAGTCTGTATTCTTAGTACAAGACTGTACTAAGGTTCCCTTTGTACTAGGGTTCCCTTTTCTTCACAGCCTCTCCAACACTTGTTTGTTGAATTGTTTATGAATGGCCATTCTCATCATTGTGAAGTGGTATCTCATTGTGGTTTTAATTTGCATCTCTCTGATGGCTAGTGATGCTGAGCATCTTTTCGTATGCCTCCTGGCTCTCTGCATGTCCTTCTTGGAGAAGTGTCTGTTCAAGTCTTTTGCCCATTTTTAAATTGGGTTTTTTGTTTTCCTGGAGTGGAGTCGTGTGAGTTCTTTATATATTTTGGAGATCAAACCCTTGTCCAATATGTTTTCCCATACAGTTGGTTCTCT